CGCTCCCCCTGCTCATGCTCGCTTACTCGCTCTCTCAAATAAATTAAATCTTTAAAAAGTAAGAAACAGAAAATAGAAAGTGGTGGCAAGTATGTGGAGAAACTCAAACACTTGGTGCGCTGCTGTCGAACACGGAGCTGTGGTGGAGAAAGGTGTAGCAGTTACTTAAATGAAGGGGATTCAGTGTTGACCGGGCAGTTTTGACAGGGGAAGAGGACAATGTTCAGGAGACGGATGGTGGTGATGGTCGTGACAGTTGCATAACAATGTGAATGCACTTAATGCACAGAACTGTACATTTAAAAAATGTAGACCATTAGAAGGGTCCATCTTTGTTATATATATTTAACCACAAATCTTAAAAAGTGGACAGAGGGGAAGGACTGCAGTACTGGGACAAGCTACAAGACAGATGAACCTGGAAAACATTCCGCCAAGTGAAAGAAGCCAGTCACAAAGGATCACCCACTGTCCTTCCACTTACATGAAATGTAGAAAATAGGCTTATCCAGAGACAAAAAAGTATATGAGTGGTTCCCAGGGGCTGCAGGGAAGGGGAGATGGGGAGCAACTGCTATATGTATGGGGGCTTTTTCCTGGGTGATGAAAAGGTTCTGGAGTTCGACTGGTCTGACGGTTGCACAACCTTATGCATATACTGAATTGTGTATGTTAAGCAGTGAATTAAAAAAAATAAAATGGTGAAATTTATGTGAAGTATATCTCAATTTAAAAAACAGCATATGAGTTAAGTACCATTCTTATTACCGTTTTACAGATGTACTAACTGAAGAAGAGATTTTCAGTAATCTGCCTAAATGACGAATGATGGAGCCCAGACTTGAAAATCCAAAAATGTTAGCACCAGAGCCTGTGAATTATTTTGTTTTAAATTCTCCCCGCCCAACCAAGAGACCTAAGAATCAATCTGCTAGGGAATTCTAGAATGCTTCCTGCTTCTGCAGACAATGGGTCCAGGCAGGTCTGGTACTCCATCTCCCCTATGTCTTGCCTTCTATGTACATCTGAACCTGGAGCTCAATTGGTCTTCTTGTATCCATGGAAGAAAGGACAAGAGGAAACCCAGAGGCAGTCTCATAATTTTTGAGCTACTAAAGGGTAACTTACCTTCAGAATTTCTTTTATGTAGAAAAACAGGCATCTCCCTCTTTGTAAAATCAGTTGTTTACAACAAAATACAATTCTAATTTCTACCTGGTACCCTTACTTCTATAGACCCAATCACATTAACATTATTACATGAACCCTTCGTTTCTCTATTTTCCTAACATCTAGCTGATAACTAAGAGTTTACTTTTACTTATTTTTTTAAGTAGGCTCCACACCCAACATGGGACTTGAACTCACGACCCTGAGATGAAGAGTAAGCCTATTCTCAGAGTTGTGGGATCAGGCTCCACATCGGATCTGCACTCGGTATGGTCTGCTTAAGATTCTCAGATTCTCTCTCCCTCCCTCACCAACGCCCAAAAGGCAGGGGGAGAAGGAGCCTGGGGTGTGTGGGTGTTGTGTGTGGTGTGTGTGGTGTGTGGGTGTGGTGTGTGTGTGTGTTGTGTGTGTGTGGTGTGTGTGTGTGGTGTGTGTGTTGTGTGTGTTGTGTGTGTTGTGGTGTGTGTGTGTGGTGTGTGTGTGTTGTGGTGTGTGTGTGTGTGTGGTGTGTGTGTGTTGTGGTGTGTGTGTGTGTTGTGTGTTGTGTGTGGTGTGTGTGTGTGTGGTGTGTGTGTGTGTTGTGTGTGTTGTGTGTGTTGTGTGTGTGTGTGCGTGCACGTCTGCACGTGCACACGCCTGGGTGACTCAGTTGGTCAAGCGTCCAAATCTTTTTTTTTTTTTTTTAAAGATTTTTTAATTTATTTATTTGAGAGAGAGAGAATGAGACAGAGAGCATGAGAGGGGGGAGGGTCAGAGGGAGAAGCAGACTCCCCGCCGAGCAGGGAGCCCGATGCGGGACTCGATCCCGGGACTCCAGGATCATGACCTGAGCTGAAGGCAGTCGCTTAACCAACTGAGCCACCCAGGCGCCCCAAGCGTCCAAATCTTGATCTCAGCGTTCTGAGTTCAAGCCCTACACTGGGCATGGAGCCTGCCTGGGATTCTCTCTCTCCCTCTGTGCCCCCCACTCAAAAAAAAGGAGAAAAGGAGAGAAAAGAATCCCACATGTTCCTCTCTGCAACCTTACTTTATTGCAGGCAATAAAAGCATTTTAGGGATCTTCTTGCAAGATTACAATGTGCTCTAGGAACATCATGTAGACTACTGTGAAAATTTCAATCAGAACGATTCAGAAATTTAGCTTTATCACAGGTAGCTCTCTTCATGGGCAAGCCCGGTTTTGTAAAAATTCATTTGCATAAAAACAAACAGTAAACTGAAGAATTAGTGGATATACTTAGTGAACTGGAGAATCATCAGAAACCTGCCCCAGAGTGGCCTTACCTTCCACAGTGACCTCAATTTCAGGAACTTTTGAATTACTCCCAGGGCTCCGTGGTCTTTTGGGTGACTGCAAGGCTATAAAGTAAGCACATGATCACTTTTGCATATTGGGGGGGGGGAGAGCAGAAGGGGATGCTTTATAAAAGCAGATTATTAAAATTCATATAGTTTGGATCTTTGCAAAGAAACCTGAAGAAGTAAACTGGTAATGTAATCCTCTGAGTCTCCACAAAACTGTGGAAACACGAATGAAGGAGGATGACAAGCAGGAAATTTTCAATGAAATGTTTTTAAAGGGGAGGGAGGAGTCCATTACATAAAAAGCAAAGAAACAAACCAAAAGCCCCCAATAGACGCTAGCGCATGATTCAGTGTGATTTAGGTAATGTCAATAAAGCATGTTTTACTGCACGGAAGTATAACAGAGTATGTATGATCTCTTACCTTTAGTGTTTATTTTACTAGCCATTCCAGGAGGCAGGTAGGAAATAACTAGTTCAGGTCTAGAGAGAAAACCAAGAAATATTAGAATAGCCAGCATACTACTGGTCTTCACAGCTAGTAAACATTATCACGACCAGTGACTTTTTTTTTTATAAAGGCCATCATTCTGTAATGTGACAATGCATTCTGTCATCATGGACAAAAACAACCCTCATTTTTCCCTCCCACCATGATCTGCTACGTGATTTTGTGAAGAGTAAATGACTTTTTCTGTGAAATGAAAATTAACGGACACTAATTTCCGCAAGTGTGGAAATCCTGCAGACGTGTAAGTAAGACACACAAGCACGGAAACTCAGCTGCCCACGAGTGCCTCAGGAACACTGGAGCAGATACAAATCTGCGTCTTCATCCTCCATTCAAGTACTAAGGAATGCTAAGAGTCAGCACAGTGTCTGTGACCAAGTCGAACACCACCCCGGCGAGGCAGGTGTCCCCCTTCTCCTTGTACGGAAGAAGAAAATCTACACGGGTTCAAGGATAAGCCAAGGCAGGGGCCCGGGCCAGGGCTGCAGCTCAGAGCTGCGCGTTCCAATCCAAACGACAAAGCCTTAGCCATCGCCCACAGCTAGGAAAAACTTCAAATGGAAATAGAACTTTACTGCTCTGATTCCAAAAATGACTATATGGGCAAATTGAACTTACTTTTTAACAACAAACTTGATTTTATTACTCCCACGGACAATCCTTTCAAGTCGTGGGATTCCAAACCAGGTAGGGCTGCGGAAGGGAATTCCTTCTGGCAAGCCTTCTACATAAAGGAACTCGGGGTTTGATTCAAACACGGGGTATGGAACTTTTACTGCCTCTGTGAGTCCAAGAGCTTGAGCTGCAAGTTAAGAGAACATAACGTATGGAAGGTAAAATGTTATGGACATTCTTTTTAAAAAATTTTTCATTTTATCAAGGTATAGCTGACGTAAAACATTACATTAGTTTCAGGCATAATGATTTGGTATTTGTACAAACTGCAAAAGGATCACCACAGTAAGTCGCGCTAACGTCCGGGCATTCTCAAATGTGTTATGCAAAGACTCCCTACCATCTAGCAATCTCCACTCAGTATTTTTTTTTAAGGGGAGTCTCCCACTCCATTATTGGAAGCATTTTGCGTAGTATATTGTGCAAAACTGAAGAATGGGCCTAAAAAATAAGTATTTTGAAAAAAGACCATTTTAACACTTTAACAAATCAAAAGGATAGTTCCATTATTAGTCAAAATGATCTCTGTGCTCTGGGCAGAAATGAACTATGGGCCACGGCACACTGACAGAGACAAGTCTGCTGTTGGTAGATACAAACTGCATATGGTGCACCTAAGCGGAACTCATCAAGTTAGAGAGAGCAGAGGCAGAGATGGAAGATTCCCAATCCGGGACACAAAACATTAACACCTTTTAATAACGACGGATGGGAAGGCCCCGGGGGTACTGCTATCGCTCCCACTCCTTACTTCCTTCTCCATGACAGACACACCCAATCAACTGAAACACTCTTGCTGAATCAATCTCCTCAGAATCCTCCTCAAGACAGCGCTCCAGGAAACCGCTGTCAACAAATCTACGTTGAAACAAATGATGAAACCTATTTGCTGTACGTGCGGTGTTAGCCAGACTCGAAGTGCAGACAGTGGGATTGGGCCTTCCCCCAACCCCTCCCTTCCTCTCCCATTTGGACATACCAGAAAATCTAATCTGAGAGAAATAAAGTAACTTGCTCAGGTTAGGTAGCGAATTTAGTAGCAGAAATAAATGAAAACCCAGTTTCTGGGACCTTCCTTCCGTAGGTCCTGAACGGCTATAATTCATTCAGAATGCTGCCTTTCATTTAGGTTTCTAAACTAAGACATAATCACTGGGTTTTACTTACCGAATTTCAAATTAAAAATCTCCTCCACCTGCTTCCGTAGCTTGGTAATTCTGACATTCCAGTCTTCTTTGACTAGAAAGCAAAAATAAATGTAACCAACAACGTTCCTCCTTGGTGCGGTCACAAAATTAGGCTGGATGTCATTCTTCCTGGTTATGTTCTTTTTTAGAAGAATCGGATCCATCTGACACACAACCCTGTATCAGTTTCGGGTGTACAGTCCAGTGATGCTCTGAATTTGATTTTGTTTAGAAACAAAACCTCTGGGTCTTAAGGAAAAGAAGGGTTCCCTGCACCTGTCAAACATGAGAACTTCAGGAAGACAGAATTCAAATTTCAGTTCACACTGTAAATAAAGAACTTGTTCCTAAGAATGCTCTAAATGAGTGGTTTTCGAGGGCTCTTCCTTGGAGGAGCACCACAGGATCCTGTCAGGGCAGGGCGGAACAGCCATGCAAGGGCCCGGGCACGCCACGCCTTCCCAGAACAGCTTTGATTGTATCAGCTTTCTGTACAGGCATTCCTTGTCTTATCAAACCGATGTGTGGCTAGAAATGCACAGAAAGCGAAATTTCAGTATTTGCAGAAACACATGGGAGAGATACATACTAAAGGGATTATGGAGATGTGACTTGACACTCCTCTCATCTATATTCTGGCTTATTTACTTCCCCTTATTCACAAGACAACCACCATCCCCTTGGAAATAAAGGGAAAATAAGCCATTGCAGAAGACACGTAGGATGTCACTTACTTAACAGACACTCAGGGCTTGTTTGGTGGAGCTGTGGATAGAGAGAAGCAATGGAGGGTGATGACGGGAGGGGCTGGACAAAGAGAGGAGACGAGAGAGTAAGCAAGAGAGAGAAAAAGAGAGCAAGAAAGAGGGTAGGGTAGAGCACAGGGATCGCATTCAGGGTGGAAGTCATCTGTGTCTGTGGACAGAGGCAGTGGGAAATGCTGGGAAAGTTCTGGAAATAATGCTAAAGGTCAGTGGCCTGGGAAAATCTCGTAATACACTTTACTTTTACTGTAGAAGTACTTTAAAACTCTTACTTTAAAAGAAAACCTACCATCTCAAGGGTTTCATATGGTGTGGCTCAACCGTTCAGCCAGAGGAAGAAGTCTGGTACAAACCAAAAACCATTACTAAAAAACATCGTGACTCTTCTTCTCCAAGGTCAAGAGCTTCTGTTTACTTGTCCAGTTTCTGCCTCACCCTACACCTCCTCTGCTGGTAAAGATCTCTGCACTACTCCTCCCGGGAAGCAAGTAACCCTCCCTGTCCTGCCCCTTCAAAGCTCAATCATCTGGTTAACTCCAGGAATTTCTCACATGTGACACATGTGTATCTGTTACAAAATTGAGGGCAAAGTGCCCCCCCAGTGTGTTTAAGCATACATCTTTTATCAAATCTCATATGTCACGCCAAGAATTAAGCAGACCTTTCTAATGGCGTAACTAACTCTTGTCACGCAGTCTGACGTGAATTGGCCCAGCAAAAAACGGATGCCTGGTTTACTGGCAGACCAGATGAACATTTTTGCTGGAATGAAGAATGACGACTTTAATTCTTGCCAAGGTCTCCTACGAATGGTGGAAGGCTAAGTATCGTTAATGATTCAGAGCACTGAGACTTTTCTTTTGAGGACAGGCTTTTCAAGTATCTATGTCAGAGGACAAGAGATCAAGTACAGCTGACAACGGGAGCCCTCAACCTACGGTGCTGGGCACAGCTTTACCATTCTCACGTTTGCAGTCACTATCAGAATTATTAACCAGCAATCACATTAATCACAACCTGGAATTTGCTGTCTCTCTTGAGAAATGAAGTCTTGAACAGAGACTTTTATCATAGTCACACTCATCCAGGTTAACCCAGTTCTACCTTCAGGAATATCGCTCTTTCCATTACTTCCCTCAGCAAAATCTATGTCATCCCCAATCCTCCATTCGTCACCAATACTCTGTTTCTTTGCCTAACTCAAAAGTATGCTGAGGAGGTTGCTGTGTGGGTTCTGATGCTCACTGATCACACCATCTCCCCAGCAGGATTCCTGGCAGAGGAGAATTAGGTGTCCCTTGTATGGTGTTTCTCAACCATTTCGCATGCCACTACAAACAAACGACTTTACAATCTCTCCAGCATCCTGGCTGACCTCCGTCGGCTGCCCGCAGGTACCCTCTGCTGAACGGTCAGTATTTAGTACAGACATCTTGTATACCATTTTGCCGCAGTATTTGTAAGAACAACGAACCGTGTGAATTCAGAAACGCCCCCTAGTCCTTGGCAACAGAAGTCTGTGACGCTGTAGAAGATATGCAAGCTGTGGTCACTTTTTCTGCCACTAGGCACAGTAAACAAAAAGATGGCAAAGAAATAAAGGCAGACTTACAGCCCAGATGAAGAAAATAAGACCATTCATTCACACAACCGAGACTGAGACCTCCAGGTTCTATTGGGCTCTGAGGTCAGTGCAGCTGCTGGAATTGCAGTGTTTGTCATTAAGAGAACAGGGGCCTTATGAAGAAAGATTAAGGTCTGAATCTGTGTGGGTCTGCCACATGAGCCACATGTGGCAACCAAACACTTGAAATGTGCTTCACTGACGGGAGTCAGACTCGAAGTGTACAATATGCAACAGTTTTACCTCATCATGTATTTATTTTGATTACAGGTTGAAACACAGATTTGGCTACCAGAATATTAAAAATGACACATTTCTACCCAACACCACTGATCTAAATTCAAAGCCTGAGCTTTCCCAAAACTACCTGGGTGTGTACTGATACATGAAGGAGGGCCTGTATTGAGCGTCCACAAACGATTTTCGGGGGAAAGGGAGAAAAGATGAGCTCCATCACTTTAAAAGATTGTCAAATTCCTTAAAAACACTGATCTGAGTTTTAAAAAGGAATTCACAACCATCTTACCTGGTGTGTTCGTTCTTGGCTGAGTGACTTCAGTAGTACTGTGAGTCAGAAGCTCCGGTCTGTGAAAACACAGGTGAGGTGAGTAACAGAGCATGCAGGAACGCCTGGGGCCTTCCTGCAGTTCACACAGTTGTGAACTGTCACTGAGTGCCACTATGGTTCATTCCAACCTCATTTCCAGTGGGGGGGAAAAATCAGTTGGAGGACTCGATTATTTTGAAAATAGCAATTTTCACAGATTCCAGTTCGGACCTCTATGCCCTCAAAGGCATTTGAAGCTCAACCGTGCAAAATAGTCATTTCACCCGCAACAGTTCAACTGTTTCTAAAACCTCAGATGAGCTCCACCACAATACAGTCAGAAATATCTAGCTGCGTTGTCCTAAAAAGATCCCTCTCTCCCTTACACAATGAGACCCAGTGACCACACAAACACACAAGCCCCAGTGAATAAGCCAGAGCTACACATTCTACCCCTCCCGCACCCTTCTATATTAAAGCCAGACCTTCTGCACTTTCTCCCTGCCCCCAAATCACCACTATCCTTCAAACTCAAGCCAGAAGAATCCTTTTAAAATGCAAATCCAAATGATTATAATTTTTTTTAAAGTAAGCTCTACGCCCAACATGGGGCTTGAACTCGCAAACCCGAAATCAAGAGTTGCAAGCCATACCGACTGAGCCAGCCAGGCATCCCTCTAAACTCTTTTAAAAGGAACTGGCTTTAAAACCTTTTAATTACTCCACTGATAGTACAGGACCAAAGGCCTTCCTCCACATGCCCACATCTGCCTGGCTTCCCATACCCACGGGCATCACTCCTTCCACACGGAATGGTGCAGTTATGTGACCCCTTCCTCTACTTTTACTATTCCCTGTATTTGAAGGCCCTTTCCACTACTCTGTGCACAGCTGACCCATCTACCTGCCACCCTCACCTTCTTCCTCAAAGCACCCAGTAACACCTTATTGCATTTATCTCTACAATAAGTCTCCCAAGACAGGGTTCCTATTGGACCCAGTTCTGTCTATCTGGTACCTGATACTAAATAAATATTCGCTCAATAAACGAACCTAACTGTAATACAACTTAATTTTAAATATGGAGAGTAAGTCCAACAAAGAGGGGAACAAAAGACCCACTTGCATGAAATTAATCTCTATTAAGGAAAGCATTACATTTGTTTCTGGAGATTTTATCATCTTACCTTTTAATAACAAATTTAATTCGATTGCCCACTTGTATGATCTTCTCCAGCCTTGGGATGCCATACCACGAGGGACTTCTAAAAGGAATGTTTTCAGGTAGTCCTTCCACGTAGAGGTCATTAGGATGTGCCTCAAATTTCTGGTAAGGTACAGCCTTGGCCTCCGTGCTCCCCAAGGCTTCAGCTTTACAAAGGAAAAGCAATTCAGGAGATTAACCTTCTGATGAAATCACAGTTTAGTACAATCCAAATCCAAAGCAAGGTAGTGGTCAACTTTTTGAAAAGCAAACTAAACTCTGGAAACACACACACTAACTATGGAAACAGGCTCAGTACAGCAAAGGCAAGTATGAATGGCCCATGATCAAGAGGTAACTTCCGGTGGAGGGAAGTTTTTGGATTCGAAGACCATCTTAATAGCGTGAAGATCCTAGAAGAGATTTTTCAGTATCTTTGGGAAGAAACAGAAGGATAAGAGAACTACCACAGCAAATAAAGAATGTAACTTAGATACTACTTTTTCAAATCCTCTGGAGGCCGACTTCTGCTGCGCGCCGAGTGTGATAATCCTATAGCTGTTACTGCAGGCTCTATTTTTTACTTATATTGCAACCATGAGATGCATGTTCTTTACCCCTCAGAACTACATGAGTGTGGCATTTTAAAAGGAAATAACTTCTGCAAAGAATGCATGGAATGGGAAATAAAAATAGCAAGCAGAGACTGGTTTAGATTAAAAGAAGCATAACAACCAGTGCTAATGCATGAATGTTGTTTAGACCAAGATTCAAAGCAAACCTTTCAAGGTACTTTTCAGATGAATGAGGAAACTCACAGACGGACTGGCCAAGAGTGGGTACAAAGGAATGGTTAATTGTATCAGGCGTGATGACCTGGTGCTCGTGTAAGAAAATGAAAGCACTATTCACAAAAGAGCAGTGAGCACAACAGAAATGAAGCTGTGCCTGTGACGTGCTTTATAATATTCCTACCAAGGGAAAAAAGAGGAAAAGATGAACAGTGTGGAAAAATCTTAATGATCACGGATTCTGAAAAATGGGTACATGGGAATGCACTGCACTGCTTTTCTAGTTCTGAATAGGTGGAGAATTAGAATTTCAAAGTGTAAACATGAAATTTCTAATCTCTGCTCTGAAACCACACTCAAACAGAGGTCTAATAAGATTCAAGGCCTTCCATCAAACTTCTTCCTAATTTCCTTAGCACCAAATCTGAAGGGCCCCAAGTACAGGATCTCTCTCTCTCTCTTAAAAGGTTTTACTTATTTGTCAGAGAGACAGAGAGAGGGAACACAAGCAGGCGGAGTGGCAGGCAGAGGGAGAAGCAGGCTTCCCGCGGAGCAGGGAGCCCAATGTGGGGCTCGATCCCAGGACCCTGGAACATGACCTGAGCCGAAGGCAGACACATAACTGACTGAGCCACCCAGGTGTCCCAGGATCTCTTTGCTATAAGAATGTGTATTTGAAAACCACACACAGGGGGCGCCTGAGTGGCTCAGTCGTTAAGTGTCTGCCTTCGGCTCAGGTCGTGATCCCAGAGTCCTGGGATCGAGCCCCCTGTCGGGCTCCCTGCTCAGCAGGAAGCCTGCTTCTCCCTCTCCCACTCCCCCTGCTTGTGTTCCCTCTCTCGCTGTGTGTCTCTCTGTCAAATAAATAAATCTTAAAAAAAGAAAGAAAGAAAGAAAGAAAGAAAGAAAGAAAGAAAGAAAGAAAGAAAGAAAGAAAGAAAGAAAGAAAGAAAGAAAGAAAGAAAGAAAACCACACATAGTGTAATAAAGATCATTACTGTCAAAAGAAACACTCCCTCAAGAAATGTGGTAGAGCCTTTCACACCACACCTGGGAGATACGATATGATACGTAATACAATAATTATTACTCAGGGAAATATAGCAAAAAAGAATAGTCGTAATTCTAATGAAACTCCTATGAAATAAAAAAGAATCAACTGCTGGAGTAGAGAGAGGAAGAGCAGAAGTTACGGGAAAGGGGGAAGGCCAACTGCATTAGCTGGTCACCAGTGAGGCTTCCTCTAGAGAAAACAACAATCCGCCTGGCTCCCTATTCCCCTCATGTCCCCAGACGTAACACCTCTTGTGTACTATGTACCTTTCCCCCCGTGTCTGGGGGAGTCCCACTGTGCCTTCTGCTCTGCCACGTTCTGAGCACCTGGCGCCCGGGTGTCCACGGATGCCCAAGGCCTAAAACGGACTATTCTGCTGAAGCAGTGGAACCTTCTACATTTAGAATGTTTGACACTTACAGAAAACGTAAGCTTTCCCCTTCCCCTCTCAGGAACCTTAGAGAAAACAGCAACCCTCTCTACATTACCTACAGTCCTAGACTCACCTAAGGCCATGAGCAAAAACAAAGAACCAGACTTTTATTGTTTATAATGTAGCAACACGTAAGCTCTTACCTATTTTCTTAGCTCTGACACCAAGCCAGAATATTTCCCATTGGCTCCTTTTTGTGTGAGTGAGTATATGGGCTTGTCAACAGCCTCCTCTTCCCACAAGGCTGAAGTCAGCTTGCTTGGCAAGCATCAGTGGTGCTAACAGGTTTGGCCGACTGTTTTCCCAAGCTCAACTTCCAGAACCACACGTGAGGGCAAAGTTTAAACCTGTTCATGCAGATACTCCTGGACTCTAATGACACTACGGTGGCCTTCTTCACCTGATTCATGTTACTAAATGCCTTGGAAATAAAATGATCTTTAAAGTGGGGAAGATGCTTTAGTTTATTGCTCACTAGCTGACTTCCAACCAGACGTACTAAGAGGAGAGAACTTGTCACTAAGGTCCTGAATTCACATTGGGTAGTCAAGAAGGACAGGGATCAGGAGAAAAAACTTAAAATTCAGACTTCTCCCCAATGCCTTCAATTCCCAGGTCAAGAGTAGAGATAAACAACATCTAGTCAGTGACCTAAGTTCGCAGCTGCCACCTGAGAAATACCTAAGAGCTGGTTTATTACGTCTTTAACACCCACTGCCGTGCACCCCTCCAGGAAACTGCAGGGCAAGTAAGAATCATCACCCAGGAGACTTGGCTTTTTGTGGCAGAACTCAAATGGTTTCTCTCGCAGAACAGTGAGAACCGCTGCAGTCCTTGGGACTCTCCGTGCCAGCCCGCCACGCTGCCCTCCACCACAGCCTTCCCCGTGCAGGGCAGCTGGGGCGCTTCGGGACGTCCTCTGGTCTTCTCGGTGACATAATTTCACGAGGTCCAATGTACACTACCTGACTGAAAGGCTCAGTGATTTCTGGCGGCTTTAGCACACAGGTCCGTGACACTGGTCTCTTCAGGAAGTATTTGGTCTGTACCTACTCCAGCACTAAGCACGGTTCTGGCAGTAGACAAGACATGCAAGATCTTGGCTGTCATTATCTACAGTGTTGTAGTGGGAGGCAGAAGACCACCATTAGTGCTTCGAGGAACGAAAATGGGTATGAGACCGGATGTGCTTAATAGTGTGCGGTAGATGGGTACCCCAAGTGAAGACCAGGCCAATGCGGCCACATTTAAATTGAAATGTAAACGAAAAGGAGAGGCACAAAAACATCTGAGGTCCCGGCAAGGCAACACTCCCCAGGAGGGCATGACCTTCGAAACTTAAAGGACAAGTAGACCGTCACTGCAGCCAGAACGAAGTGAGCCAGTGGGACAGTCCAGGAGGTGCTATCAGAAGAAAGGCAGGGTGGCTATGACCGGGGACTGTGGGGTTAATTCCAAGAACAAAGGGAGGCCATGGAACAGAAAACAGAA